CTTTCTCTCACTAGATTTGAGGGCGCTAGAATTTAGGCATACTAGTACGTCAAAAACCCTGGTGCATAAGCCGCACTAGTATGTCCGAAACCCTGAAAGGGTTAACTAACTTTTCTCCTGAAGCCCGCGATCCAACTAAAACACTCTGAAGGATCGGATTCGGTCTGAGGGCCACCAGTTGAGTAGCCCTGCCCTACATCATATCTTGTATTCTTATTTATCCTCTTTTTCTTAAAATATGCATTACCTATAACCAAACCCCTTTCTATACATAGTTCAATCAAAGGGCCCCTATTATCATTTACACCTGGCACCCCAAACTTACCCACCACACACTCTCAAAATGTTTCTCCTACTTTAGCATTTAGGATCCCTACTACAGTTACTCTCTCACTTGGTTTAAAAGTTCCTACACACTCACTTAACATCTCCCAAAATCCCTCTCTCTCCTCTACACTCCTCTCCTCTCCAGGTGCATAACATAATATCTTTATTTACTACATGTACAAAGTATGTATACAGGCCTAGTTGACATCAATGACATACTACTGCATATATAGAAAGCTGCTTGTTATGCTGAGCATTTCGGGCAAATTAGGTTAGTTTTGTCCCAGGAGTGACCCACACCAGTCGACTAACACCCAGGTACCCATTTTACTGATGGGTGAACAAAGATGACTGGTGTAAGGAAACACGTCCGATGTTTCCATCTCTTTGCCAGGAATCGAACCCAGACCCTCACCATGTGAAGCAAGAGCTTTTGCCACCAGGCCATGGGGCACTTATTACGACCACATTTTGCATCCGACCCTTATTTTAATCCACATAATCCTTAAATTTATACATTTATATTCCCTCTTCTCCTTCCATAACTGATCCATCAACATTATTGCTACCCCTTCCTGACTTAATCCCATTTATTTCTCCCCACTGAAGCTCACCTACCCCTTTCAGCTTTGTTTCGCTTACAGCTAGGACATCCAACAGCATATTACACATTCTGGAGACCATTGTAACATGATGTTGACAGGTCTTTCTCAAACTCAACCCGTCTCGCCACAATTACTACGACTACTACCACGACTACTGCTACCCATGCGGCATTCCACCTGGCTCCTGCCACTATATATACACCTTTCTTATTAATCTCTGCATTAGGACTGAAAAAGCCACTCATGGTGAAATGTTTCCTTTAACTGAACTGTATACCTGGAGAGAGAGTTTACCTGGAGAGAGTTCCGGGGGTCAACGCCCCCGTGGCCCGGTCTGAGACCAGGCCTCCTGGTGGATCAGAGCCTGATCAACCAGGCTGTTGCTGCTGGCTGCACGCAAACCAACATACGAGCCACAGCCCGGCTGATCCGGAACTGACTTTAGGTGCTTGTCCAGTGCCAGCTTGAAGACTGCCAGGGGTCTGTTGGTATTCCCCCTTATGTGTGCTGGGAGGCAGTTGAACAGTCTCGGGCCCCTGACACTTATTGTATGGTCTCTTAACGTGCTAGTGACACCCCTGCTTTTCATTGGGGGATGGTGCATCGTCTGCCAAGTCTTTTGCTTTCGTAGTGGGTGATTTTCGTGTGCAAGTTCGGTACTAGTCCCTCTAGGATTTTCCAGGTGTATATAATCATGTATCTCTCCCTCCTGCGTTCCAGGGAATACAGGTTTAGGAACCTCAAGCGCTCCCAATAATTGAGGTGTTTTATCTCCGTTATGCGCGCCGTGAAAGTTCTCTGTACATTTTCTAGGTCGGCAATTTCACCTGCCTTGAAAGGTGCTGTTAGTGTGCAGCAATATTCCAGCCTAGATAGAACAAGTGACCTGAAGAGTGTCATCATGGGCTTGGCCTCCCTAGTTTTGAAGGTTCTCATTATCCATCCTGTCATAAGTGTCATATATAAGTGTCTTTTTCCACATCTTGTCAGTATCACTACAGCATTTCTCAATTCCCTGACTGTCTCTTTTACATTACTACTACAAGGAAAGATGCAGATGCCTGAACTTTTCCTCAGCATTGGCATTAACACTCTTAGATCTGGCATATAAGGCATTTGCATGGCAAAAAAAGAATAAGTGCCACCACAGCTAAAATACAGGTTGGTGAGTGTATTGATTCCTTAATGTTTCGTTTGTTTGTGCCAATGTGTAGATATTGTCTTCTGCATGAGCAAGTCAGGCTCAGAGTCCCATAACACAGTATGGCAACTTGAGTTCCACAGGTCTGATTTGCCCCCATGCCTGCATTTTCCTCAATGTTTAAAATTTTGGCTTAATCTTTTCTGCAGTGCAATGCCTCATACAGTGGTCTCTTGAGTTACAATATTAATCCATTCCAGAAGACGTATCATACCTCAAAACTATTGCAACTCAAACCCCAAAATATATGGTTTTATGGTAATTTGTTACAATACCCCAGAAATGCAACTTTTACTGTACTTTGGACTTGCACACTCAGATACAACTTGCAGGTACTGTATCTCCCTTCATCTGCTTCTCTCTGATCCACAAAAATATACCTTAACCATCTCTATGATCATTTCTCTGCATTTTTTAGCTAAGATTCATGAGCCACTTAAAATATCCTTTATGTCTTTTTGCTTGATAACAGTAGAGATTGTGGAAAGCACCAACACACTAATCCTAACTACTGTATCATGTTTTTCACAATTTCTTGTTCGATATTCAGAGAAACTGCCTGTTTACTATTCACTTTAGGGGCCATGATGGGTTAGTAACAGAAAAGTAGGTGTAATTAAATCACAAATGCATATCGCATCTCAAATTTTTCATCGCAACTCAAAACTAAATTCCTTTATGAGGGCAAATCTTAACTCAAAATTATTCTAACTCCAGCCCATTGTAACTCAAGGGACCTCTGTACAATATTTTTGATAGTGGTGATGGTTGCAATGATGGATCTGTCTTTTTTTTAACCCTTAAACTGTCCAAACGTAGATCTACATCCATGTGCGGGGGGCTCCAATCGTAGATCTACGTTTTTTTTTTACATGCTTTCAAATGAAGAAAATAAAGGTCGGAGTGCTACACATGTGAACACAGATCTACGTTTGGACAGTTTAAGGGTTAAGTATCTTAGAAGTTTTCTCATGTACTGTGGCAGTAGAGAAAATTCAAGTGAGTGCTCTTGCTATTACTTCTTGAAGTGTTATATGTTTGCCATGCTTTCCTTCAGCAATCTGTATGAAGGTAACAGGAAAATGTAAACTGTGGAAGACCTCCAATTCTCCGATCTCATCTTCATAAGAACATACAAACAGGGGTAATTCACACATGTTACACCACGTATGACAACTGTACTTGTGTGTACCTGTACCTAAATAAACTTGCTTACCTAGGCAGGTCTTTCTGAAGTTGACCCTTTCTCACTCATATATGCCTAACTTAGCTACCTTAGGTTTTGGCTTCAGTAACTAAGGAGATTATTCCACTCATCAACAACCCTGCTGCTAAACTAGTGTTCTCTTTTCCTATAACCTTTTCTTCCACTTTTCCTATCCAGTTATATTTAGCAACAGATTATTTCAAATGGAACATAACTGCTCTTTCCAATAATTTATATACTATCGAAGATACGGTACAGTACTATGTTCCACAGTCAGCCCTCCCCATTTACCCCTATCTCACCTATGGAATTTGTGCATGGGGATCAAGAACAATAAACCATCTCAGACCATTAATTACCCAACAAAAGGCTGCAGTCAGAATGATGATAAATTCCCACTACAGGCAGCATACTCCACCAATATTCAAAACTCTAAACTTACTCACTGTACAAAACATCCATACTTATTATTGTACCTACTACATACTACATAGAACACTTAACTCAGATATAAACCCTCCCCTCAACAGAACACATGACCATAACACAAGGCACAGATCACTCTTTGATGTTCCTCGTGTCCATCTCACACTATGTAAAAATGCAATGCACATAAAAGGCCCAAAAATCTGGAATTCATTACCTGTGAATATAAAAGAAATACTGTCTGTTTATCAATTCAAAACTCTTCTTAAAAACCACTTACCCACAACTAAATAAATATTGATTAACTGTATCTCATAAATGTATAACCTGCGACCTTATCAAACTGTTTTTTTTTTGTAATTACATTACCTAATAGAATACTCCATTCTCTTGAATGCACAGTAACTCATCAAATGACCATATGACCTGTTTCTGCACTACAAATCATTGATCTTATTCAATTTGACCAGATTATATTATAAATTGTACTACAAATTTGTACAACTATAAAGCTTCTTATTTGAAGTACTCATTTGTACCTCATGTTGTAATTTGTTTATTGTAAATTTTACCACTGAATATATCATTGCTTAGTTAATCTTAAGTTAATTTTAAGCCTGCCCACAATGCTCTGCATACAAGGGGCTTTTGGCATGTACACTCAACCACTGTAGTATTTCTTTTGTACAACTATGTATCATGTCCAAATAATAATAAATAAATAAATAAATAGTTTATGATGAGTGTTTCTAAATTTTCAAGTAAATGTTGTTTAAAACTGAGGGACTGACCACCTCAAAACTACGTCTTCAAGGGTGATGGACTGATTACATCGTTTTCATATCTCTTTTGCTTCTACCAACTTGTCTGTACTCGACTGAAGAAGCCTACTGTGTAGGCGAAACGCTTCGAAATAAAGATACCTAACAACCTGTCTGTATTTTATGCCATTTCAATACTATTCACTACTCCTACCCCCCTTTCTCTCTTCTCTTATTGCCATCACCTACTACTACTACTACCTCCTTTACTCTCAAGCATATACGTAATGTATATTTTATATTTGAAGTTAGGTCCAAAATGATGCTTATACAGTATAACAAATTTCATAAACATCACTTTCCTCTATAGCTATTTATTATTTATACTGCGCAACATGCTCGTAATTTTTTTTATGATTAAAAACCTTAATCTATTGAAGGTGTAGTATTCAAGAAAATGAACTTATACTCACTCTATCAGATATGCACCATACAAAACAGTAACAATGTGTGTAGTGACAATACTGCAGATGCTCCACACAGCAATCAAAAACACATGGACAACCTGTAATATTTGTTTAAACTATATATTTAACATAGTTTATATATACATTCTAAAAGTTATATATTAAATATAGCTTTTAGAAGGTATATCTATTATTAAATGTAAAAGCTTCTGGCATTTGTACAGCCTCTGAAACCAAAATGAAACATGAATAAAATTATAAAAAAAAATCAAGAACATAGAAATTGTACTTAAAACAATATAGGTAAATAGATGTGCAAAATATTCACATCTAAGTGGTACAACATTCAATTCATAACGAAAGAACCAGAATCAGAATCATGATCAGGGCACGGTAAGATATACGAGCAAATTTCCTTACACCTGCTGCCTATGTTTACTTAGCATTAAATAAACACTTTGAATATTGATAACTTTTGTAAGTTCCATCCTTGGGGAGATATAACCCTATAAAAAATTGTTACATGACCATAATTTTTAAAGGGGTTGACTGGTAAGCCAGCGGAAGGCCTCAGTCAGATGACCAAAAGCTCTAACGGCAGATCATCATCTGAATAAGATCCGCGTTAGAAAACGCTTCTCCTGTTTCCTGACAAACCTTACCTAACCTAATCTAACTTTGGGGAGAGGATCTATGGACTTCAGTGGAAATGAGCCAATTAAAAGAGAGCTCAATACTTTTCTTAGTGCAATATAATTACATTTACTCACTTAAGTTAATATTGAACACAATTTTATAATACTACTGTTATATTAATAATGTTTTACATTTCTATTCTACTACATACACTTATCACAAGGACCCTAATGGAAATAAGTCACTCTGACTCATTTTGGTTATCCTAGGTTCTCTACACATATGCTGCTATGTATGATAGTCTATGTACCTATATTTGTGTATACCTGAATAAACTTACTTATAGTCAATTCTGATACACAACAGACATATTATTAAACAATACCAAAAAAGGAATATTACAGTAAACAGTTAATTAATAAAGTAAGGTTATAACAATTATATAACCATTATAGGGGGAAATTATTTTAAATTATAAATACATATATATCACTCAATTATTCACAAGGAAAGGCAAACATGTAAATGATATGCCTGTTGAGGAATGTGTGATAATCAGCTTAGATCCAAGGAAGATGAAGGGTAGCTCCCAATCCTTGGATCAAGACAACACATCCCACTACTCTTCAAAAGCTTGAACTTACTTAATATACAAAATATACAAACTTATTACTGTGCCTACTATATATACACAACATTAAACTTCAATATCAACTCTCCACTCAAACTCCTCCTAGACAGCTTCCACAGAAAACACAGGCATAACACGAGGTACAAAACACTTTTTGACATTCCTCGGGTCCGTCTCACACTATGCAAAAATGCAATGCACATAAAGGGCCCGAAGATCTGGAACTCTTTGCCTGAAAGGCCCCTCAAGGGAGGTTCCTTGACGTTGGTGAGGGGCTCTTGATTTAGGGAATTGGATCTGTGCTCCGGTTCCCTGAATTGAACCTAATACCTTCCATCCCCCCACATGCGCTGTAAAATCCTACGGGTTTAGCGCTCCCCATGATTATAATTATAATTATTTGCCTGAAAGAGCACGAGGTCCCCTGCCCACAAATCAATTTAGGACTAGTATACTCAAAAATCATCTCATCTTTCAATAACAATCATACCAACACTATGGTAAACTCTAACCAAATTTAGAGCAACTCTCCAAAATATTTTATTATCCCTTAACTATTAAACCATTATTACAAACTTAAAACTGTATATCTGTATCATTAATTGTACCACCTCATGTTAATAATAGAATAAAATACTGAATACTGTATTCTACCACTCTTTACCTATATAGACTAAGTATTAGGTCAAGTCTGCCCGAAATGCCTCGGCATTATTTTGGTTTTCTTTGTACCAATCAAATTATGAAATGTAAACACACATTGTAACTTTAGCAATGAAATAAAATTTTACTTTATATTTTTATTTATAAGAAACCTCCACCAGCATCAACGCGTCACTTTGTTATCCTAGGTAATTTACACCCATGTATGGTAACTGCACTTGTGTACCTGTGCCTAGATAAACTTACTAATCCCCCTTGACGAGTTACATTAATACAATAAGCTACATAATGCCCACCTTAGACGACTTTTTAGTCTTGGTTTTTGAGGAAGAACCAGTGAAGACGTCTGAGGCGGGGCAGCTGCCGCCTCCCAGTAAACTGAACACTATTTCTACCGCTATCACTGCCAAACTATACACCTGGAGGGCATGCAGACACACATCATGGTTGTAACCAGACTGTACGAGGTAGAAGAGCAAGCCAAGACCCAGAAGGAGGTTCAGAACGGGCTTACAGCGCGGTAAAATGGGAGATTGATTGGTGCCATCAGAGTGCAACATGGCCCAACCACCGGTAATATCAAATATTCATCACTCACATATTCCTTTAAACTCTATTACTTAATTATCACTAAAATTATTATCACATCGGATTCAATAAATGTTTAAAAAGGCTTATTAGCTAAATTTAACATATTGTATATTTTAATCTTTTTGGATATGTCACAGGAAATCTAAATAAAAACTTGCATGTATATTTTATCGTGAAAAAAACTGTACTACATAATATGGCTCACCTGATATTTACTGTATGAAAGTTTTATTACGCACTTTTTAGGTTATGCTGCTATGTATAATAATCAATGTCCTGTAACTCGATCGGTAACACACTGAGGTCCGGAGTTCGAATCTCCGGTACGGCTTGAAAACATTAGGACGTGTTTCCGTAAGACACCTGCTGTCCATGTTCACCCATCAGTATAAAATGGGTACCTGGGTGTTAGTCGACTGGTGTGGGTCGCATCCTCAGACAAAATTGACCTAATTTGTCCGAAATATTCTGTATAACAAGCGGCTTTTTATATAGTAGTACGTCAGTGATGTCAGCTAAGCCTGAATACCATGTACATGTAGAAATAAAGATATTATTATAACTATATTTATGTATACCTGAATAAACTTGCCCATCCTATGGGAACCGGTTACCCGATACTCAACCTGTGGTGGGAGGCGGCCACCCCCCTCTCTGTCTATAATAATAATAATAATAATATTATTATTATTATTATTATTATTATCAAGGGAAGCGCTAAACCGTAGGATTATAGTGCCTGTGGGGGATGGTATACAGGTATACAGGCTTAGCTAACATCCATGATATACTATATTATTATAATTATGGGGGAGCGCTAAACCCGTAGAATTATACAGCGCATGTGGGGGGGGGAAGATATTCAGGCTCATTTCAGAGAACCTGAGTACAGATCCAACTCCCAAGATCATGAACCCCTCACCAGCGTCAAGGAACCTCCTTTGAGCGGCACTATATATTATTATAATCAAAACTGAGCATTAAAACACCAGGGTCATACAGTGCTGGATACTACTACTATATAGAAAGCCTCTTGTTATGCCAACATTTTGGACAAAATAGGTCAAATTTGTCCCAGGATTGTGTAGATGGCAGCCAGACCATGTCCATTTAGTGGGTGGTGCTGGTGGTAACCTCGCATTCATGCTATGGGCAGTGGCCAGACCATGTCCATGAAATGGGTGGTGGTCACCTCATACTCATGCTATGGGCAGTGGCCAGACCATGTCCACGAAGTGGCTGGTGGTCACCTCATACTCATGCTATGGATGGTGGTCAGTTTAGTTGTGTCGCCTAAGTGGCTAGTTCATTGTGCACCCACAGCTCATTATGTGAGTGGTAGTGCAAAGCAAAAACAAAAACAAAAAAATACATACCTGTGGAATGGATATGGCCCATATAGTAAAAATTTACTGATGAGTGGGATACCTACAGTAGCCTTTGTTTCAGGATCTACCTGTTCATTTTATTTAGGCTCCAACAGAGTTCTGCATCCTTATACCGAGCATGGAAATGAACTAACAACTCCTGGATTTTTTGGACCACAGGATCCTAAATTTAGATTTAGTATGCTTCTGTACACAAGCATGAACTGAATCATGCACCAAGAAATTAGTGAAGGTTATCACCAGGGCTCAACACTTAGGGGATACCCGTCCATTGCTAATAAAAAGAAACCTCAAACACTATTCAAGAACAGGGAGAGAAGCCAACCTCTTTTACTGCAGACACATAGAGGCCACAATCCAGTGAGCACCTGCAAGAAAAAATTAAAGCACATCCATAACACACTAATTTCTATGGGAAAGTGCTAACCCTATAGGAGTCATAAAATGCCTGGGAATGGGAAGCAATCATATCTAATCCAAGGAAAAGGAAGGCAGCTCTAATTCCTTGGCTCAAGAGCCATTCACTAGCATCAAGACACCTCTAATGAAGGATGCCATGATACAGGATATTCATTATATCTCTGCTGGATATGGGTGACCTGTAGCTCAGTTGATTATTATTATTATAATCAAGGGGGAAGCGCTAAACCCGGAGGATTATACAGCGCCTGGGGGGGATGTGGAAGGCATTCAGGCTTAATTCGGGGAACTGGAGCACAGATCCAATTTCCTAAATCAAGAGCCCCTCACCAACATCAAGGAACCTTCCTTGAGGGGTAGCTCAGTTGAAATATTAGAATCGTAACTAAGCACTAAAAGCTCAGTTGCAGCACATTAAGATCTAACCAATATTTATTATTATTACATTCATGCAAAACTAGCAGACACAATAAGGCTGTCTGTTTTGGTACTTCGATATGTAGGGGATGGGGGTTCAAGGAATTGAACTTGCAAATGCTTCTGTACATTCTTAAGTTCCAATTATTATTATTATAATCAAGGGGGAAGCGCTAAACCCATCTTAAGTTCCAAACATATCCATATCACTCATCTTTCTCAGATAACTTTTCTCTATTAGCTCAATTCTTACAAGACCCTTTTGGATTTAGCTCTTAGTTTGATTACATTATCAATTCTCACGAGATAGCTGGTAATGTTGGTCCTCACTAGCGACACTTTTTTTTCCCCCCAATCAACTCATAATCAGGATTCTTGCCATCTCTTCATCACTACTGGCTGTGGGAAAAGGTTTTCAGGTTTAATTTAGGTAACTGGACCACAGATAAAATTCCCTAGATCAAGAGCCCCTCACCAGCATCAAGGAACCTCCCTTGAGGGGGAAGCTCGCAACTTGAATTTTGGCTCGTATCCATGAGCAAAACATTGACCGAGCGACGGCACATATCCTGAAAAATTCCCACGGTGGGGCACTCGTAAGCAGAAGTTCCAATGTATGTACTAGAAAAAAGGGAGGTAATCAAGTTTGTTTCAAGGGAAAAAAAAGTAGACAGATCCAATTTCTTGGTTTAAGAGCCTTTTACCATCAACAAGGCACTCGGTTTGAACAGATGCTTTATTATGAATACATGTATTAAAAATGTAGGCAAAATAGTGTCAGGTGTTGTACTCTATCACAAAGATATTAAATTCATGAGAAAGTGCTCAAGGAGAATAAAAAAATTAAAAAGATGATAATTATTATTATAATCTTAGAGGAGTGCTAAACCCATAGAATTATAGAGTGCATGTGTGAGGGGGGGGGGGAGGAAGGTATTCAGGCTGAATTCAGGGAACTGGAGCACAGATCCAATTCCCTACATCAAGAGCCCCTTCTCATGTGGGGGGTTCGATTACATGGATTGGGTAAAGAAAAGTCACATAGACATCTCAGTAGTATCAGTTTCCAGTAGTATCAGTTCCCAGTAGTACCAGTTACCAGTAAAAAACATGCTATGGTCAGCAGCAACATGAATAACAGTCAGTGATTCATGAAGACGGTTGGTAGTGAGTCATACTACTGGTAACTGGTTACTGGTAACTGGTACTACTGGGAACTGATACTACTGAGACCCTCACCAGAGTCAAGGAACCTCCATTGAGGGGAAAAAAGATGACAAAATACTTCAATAACAGTACATTACTGTCCTCAAAATATCTTTTTGATGGACAAGAGGCAAATCACAATTTATTAATACCAAAGCATTTTAATATATTTCCATTGGGAACAGTTTTGAAAATTATTTAATTTCATGTATTAAGTTGTCTTTCACATGGTACGCAGTGTTAAGTATCCCTGTACCTGTGATCAAATGCATTTCATCAATCATTCATGAGTAACACCTTTAACATATTTGAATACCACTAAATTACACAAGTTTCTTAAGTGATGTTTCTTTCCAGTTCACTGAGTCTGCTGCTTTCATCACTGTTGTATTTATCATTGTAGACAAGAATGTCAACTTAAAGTATAATGGCCAAATGCTACAGGTAAAAAAAAAAAATTTTCTCAACTTGTGAAGGCAAGGTAACTTTATTCAACCAACAGCCTTTATCACTAGTCTGACAATCCAAGAACAATATCCAGGACAATCTGTCAATGCATTTGACCCCAATGCAATGAGCCTTATTGCTGTATATTACCTTGTACTATACATAAACAAATCACTACCTGACCTACTCCCAATATTTAAAATGTAAAATGAGGATATCTGTTGGGATTCATACACAGTACTGTGTAAGATATTACACACAGCAAATACATTTTCTAGACTTCTTCTTCTTGGTCTGGATAACGGGTTCGATGATATTTCTTTGTAAGTTCTTCAAGCAGAGGGGCTTCCTCTGGAAAGAGAGACTCAGCTGGCAACTCCCAGTGCCGATATACCCATGGAATCCGCTCACGGGGATTTGTGGCAAAGTGATGAATGCGGCATCGCACTGGTGCTTCTTCTTTATTGTTGATCTGTAAGATAAAAGATTTAATGCAAACAAGATTCTAGTCTTAATATTTCACAAAGGTAATAATTCATAAGTATTAAACAAATACAGGTCACATATGCAAACACACATCAGATGTAGGTAAACAGATTGACAGATAATGTATATTCATTAAAAATTCTTATCATATTCTTGATCCACACATAAAAATAATTTTTTTTTTTTTTTCAACAAGTCGGCCGTCTCCCACCGAGGCAGGGTGACCCAAAAAAAAAGAAAGAAAATCCCCAAAAAGAAAATACTTTCATCATCATTCAACACTTTCACCACACTCGCACATTATCACTGTTTTTGCAGAGGTGCTCAGAATACAACAGTATAGAAGCATACACATATAAAGATACACAACATATCCCTCCAAACTGCCAATATCCCAAACCCCTCCTTTAAAGTGCAGGCATTGTACTTCCCATTTCCAGGACTCAAGTCCGACTATATGAAAATAACTGGTTTCCCTGAATCCCTTCACTAAATATTACCCTGCTCACACTCCAACAGATCGTCAGGTCCCAAGTACCATTCGTCTCCATTCACTCCTAACACGCTCACACACGCTTGGTGGAAGTCCAAGCCCCTTGCCCACAAAACTTCCTTTACCCCCTCTCTCCAACCCTTTCGAGGACAACCCCTACCCCGCCTTCCTTCCCCTATAGATTTATATGCTTTCCATGTCATTCTACTTTGATCCATTCTCTCTAAATGACCAAACCACCTCAACAACCCCTCTTCTGCCCTCTGACTAATACTTTTATTAACTCCACACCTTCTCCTAATTTCCACACTCCGAATTTTCTGCATAATATTTACACCACACATTGCCCTTAAACAGGACATCTCCACTGCCTCCAACCGTCTCCTCGCTGCTGCATTTACCACCCAAGCTTCACACCCATATAAGAGTGTTGGTACTACTATACTTTCATACATTCCCTTCTTTGCCTCCATAGATAACGTTTTTTGACTCCACATATACCTCAACGCACCACTCACCTTTTTTCCCTCATCAATTCTATGATTAACCTCATCCTTCATAAATCCATCCGCCGACACGTCAACTCCCAAGTATCTGAAAACATTCACTTCTTCCATACTCCTCCTCCCCAATTTGATATCCAATTTTTCTTTATCTAAATCATTTGACACCCTCATCACCTTACTTTTTTCTATGTTCACTTTCAACTTTCTACCTTTACACACATTCCCAAACTCATCCACTAACCTTTGCAATTTTTCTTTAGAATCTCCCATAAGCACAGTATCATCAGCAAAAAGTAACTGTCAATTCCCATTTTGAATTTGATTCCCCATAATTTAATCCCACCCCTCTCCCGAACACCCTAGCATTTACTTCTTTTACAACCCCATCTATAAATATATTAAACAACCATGGTGACATTACACATCCCTGTCTAAGACCTACTTTTACCGGGAAGTATTCTCCCTCTCTTCTACACACCCTAACCTGAGCCTCACTATCCTCATAAAAACTCTTTACAGCATTTAATAACTTACCACCTATTCCATATACTTGCAACATCTGCCACATTGCTCCTCTATCCACTCTATCATATGCCTTTTCTAAATCCATAAATGCAATAAAAACTTCCCTACCTTTATCTAAATACTGTTCACATATATGCTTCAATGTAAACACTTGATCTACACATCCCCTACCCACTCTGAAACCTCCTTGTTCATCCGCAATCCTACATTCTGTCTTACCTCTAATTCTTTCAATTATAACCCTACCGTACACTTTTCCTGGTATACTCAGTAAGCTTAATCCTCTATAATTTTCACAGTCTCTTTTGTCCCCTTTCCCTTTATATAAAGGGACTATACATGCTCTCCGCCAATCCCTAGGTACTTTCCCCTCTTTCATACATTTATTAAACAAAAGTACCAACCACTCCAACACTATATCCCCCCCTGCTTTTAACATTTCTGTCATGATCCCATCAGTTCCAGCTGCTTTACCCCCTTTCATTTTACGTAATGCCTCACGTACCTCCCCCACACTTACATTCTGCTCTTCTTCACTCCTAAAAGATGGTATACCTCCCTGACCAGTGCATGAAATTACTGCCTCTGTTTCTTCCTTAACATTTAAAAGTTCCTCAAAATATTCTCGCCATCTACCCAATACCTCCATCTCCCCATCTACTAACTCCCCTACTCTGTTTTTAACTGACAAATCCATATTTTCCCTAGGCTTTCTTAACTTGTTTAACTCACTCCAAAATTTTTTCTTATTTTCATTAAAATTTCTTGACAGTGCCTCTCCCACTCTATCATCTGCTCTCCTTTTGCACTCTCTCACCACTCTCTTTACCTTTCTTTTACTCTCCATATACTCTGCTCTTCTTATAACACTTCTGCTTTGTAAAAATAATATATTAATAAAATAAGGGTTAATCAAATTATCTGTAAATCAAAAGTAAGCAGTTTACCTTTACTCTGACTAAAAATTCTTTGCCCTGCAGGTTGAGATCTGGTCCAATGATTGGTTGAGAGGGAAGTGTAAGAGCCTCCTCAGGTAAATAAATCCCAGCTTTACGGAAGGCAACTCGTACATGCCATGGTTCAAGCTGCCACGGTTGATCCAAGTTCATACTGATCGAAAGGACTTTTTGTGACAACTCCTCTGCTGTCTTTGAAGTAGCAATACACAATACTGTTAGCATTACCCATACTGATAACTTGTATGCTCTTTTAGATGCAACTACTGTACTTCTGGAGCTTAGTATTTATAGAACCTTCTTCAAAATACATGTACTGTACTGATAAGGCTGTCATGAGTTGAAATACACATTTGTATTGGACTTAAACATGCAAGAATATAAACAGTACAATTAATTTTAAAATCTGCATTATTAGATCAATTTTCAGGAAAATTTAAAATAATGAAAGTGTACAGTGGCCACAAAAAAAATTTATACACTAACAAGTTTTGGACAATAAAATGAAAAAAATGCAACTTAATGTATGTGCATGTATTTTATTTTCACTTTTTAGCTTCCAACTAGTACTTGGTCATGTTACCATTGTTCTTTATCACCATCTGAAGTCGCCTGGGCATCGAAGTGGCGAGGGTGGAGAAGAGGGAGGCATCCATGTTGATCCAAAGCTTCTTCAGTGCCTCCTTCAAGTCCGTGATGTTGGTGGGTCAAGCTTTTGGAGTCTCATTTTTCATCACATGCCAGGCATTCTCGATAGGATTTAGGTCATGAGAATTGCCTGGCCACTCCAAAACACTGATATTATTGTCCACTAGGAACTTTTTCAATCCATTTGACTTATGGGCAGGGGCACCATAATAAATAAAAAAAATCACATTCGTGAATGTTCCAAAATGTTAACATGTGGTCCCTTAACACCTCGATATACAGTGGACTCCTGGTTTTCGTACTTAATTCATTCCAGAAAGTGACTAAATCCAAATCTGATGATTTCCGAATTAATTTTCCTCATAAGAAATAATGTAAATCCAATTAATCCGTTCCACACACCCGAAAGTATTAACAAAAATTATTTTTTTATGGATTAAATATAGATTTATATACAGAAAAGAATGAGAAGTCGAGTATAAAACAATAATATCACACTTACTTTTATTGAAGACTCTTGTTGGTGTATGGAACATGGGAGGAGAGGAGAGGGTTAGGGTGATGTTCCTCCACAAATGTTTGCACCTCACTCCACTTTGCAGAAATGTCCTTAATCTTTGAAGAAGGCACCTTCTTCCCTCTCTCTTTCTCCTCCCCTGAAGCAATTTCCTCAGCTGGTGTATATAAGAACATAAGAAAGTAGGAACACTGCAGCAGGCCTGTTGGCCTATACCAGGCAGGTCCTTCACAAACCATCCCACTAACAGAATTGTATTTGCCCAACCCAATTTTCAATGCTTCCCAAGCAATAAGCTTCAGAGGCATTGCTAGGGTTGGTGTAACCTGGGGCAGCATCTTTGGTGTCACCCCCATGAAATCCATAAGGACTCTAGGTACCAAGTCCTTATCAAGGGTCATTTCCCTCCTTTGTTTTTTAATGCCACTAGGACCAGCTTGAGAGTCACTAGACCCCTGTCGTACAAAATATCTGTCCAGATAGGTCTGTTTCTGGCGTCTCTTTAAGATTTGCCTAAAATGGGACATGGCATTGTCACTGTAAAAGTCGCCAGCACTGATTGCAACAGCTTTCTCAGGGTGATGTTCCTCCACATATGAATGCACCCTAGTCCACATTGCACAAATCTCCTTAATCTTTGAAGAGGGCACCTTCTTCCATTTCTATTCGTCCTCCTCTAAAGCAATATCCTGAGCTGTGGTCTGTTGCTGATGCAGATGAAGCTCTTGCAGCTCATCAATGGTTAGCTCTTAATTGTGGTCCTCCACCAACTCTTTCACATCCTGGCCACTCACATCCAACCCCATGGAATTTCCCAATGCCGCAATTGATTGCACAATAGGTGTAGGGTCGACAGGGTCAGCCTCAAACCCTTCAAAAACCTTCTTTTGGACACAATCTGGCCACAATTTTCTCTGAGCAGAGTTCATCATCCTGGAAGTCACTCCCTGCCAAGCCTTATCTATAAGGCTTATGCAATGGAAGATATTGAAGTGATTCCTCCAGAACTCTTAGGGTCAATTCAGAGTCCGAGGTTATGTCAAAGTACCTTTGAAACATTCCTTTGGTGTACAGTTTTTTGAAGTTTGCAATGATCTTCTGGTCCATGGGCTGGATGAGAGGAATGGTGTTAGGAGGCAAGAACTTCACTGTTACAAAAGTGAATTCCTTAGACAATTGATCTTCCAAGTCTGGAGGATGAGCAGGAGCATTGTCCATTAACAGGAGGCACTGGAGTGGCAATTTATTCTTCACACTCAGGCCAAACACTTCATTGAACCATTCCAGGAAAATTTCCCTCACGACCCATGCCCCACTGTTTGCCTTCCACATCATACACAATTTACTCTTGACGACACTGTTTTTCTTAACACACTGGGATTTTCAGTGATACACCAGTAAAGGTCCTCTGGCATTTTCTTCCAAAACAAGCCTGTTTCATCACAAATGAACACATGTTGGGGTTGGAATTCCCACACGAATTTTTCAGCCTCATGTTTGTCTGAATGGCACCCTCACCATGCCTTACAACACTGTGTATGCCACTCCCCTTCTTGAATTTTTCAAACCAGCCTTTGCTGGCCTTAAATTCACCAACATCAGCACTCATTCCAGTTTCTTTATGAGATCATCATGCAACTGCCTTGCCTTTTCACAAATTATCGACTGCACAACACTATCTCCTGCTAACTAACAAAAAAAGGCACAATACAGTGACTGGAACGATACACAAATAACCCGCACATAAAAGATGACGTTTCCTGCTAACTCTTTCTCTCTGATCCACACCAACAACAATTTCTCCACTTCAATTGTTTGGGATCTCTGTTTCGTTATCGTATTCACCCCTTTCGCAACAATAGCTTCCATGATTTCTTTTCTCTTTGCCACAATGGAGCTGATGGTTGATGGTGCCTTCCCGTACATCCTGCCGAGTTCAGCAATGCGTATGCCACTATCATATTTTTGAACAATTTTTTGTTTTCATTTCTATGGTGTTCCTCATTTTCTTTACCAAAGGACTGGCACTAGGAGCTTTCTTTGGGGCCCTGATGGCTTATTTAGCAATCACACACAATAAACAAGTGCCAAAAACAATGGAGTATTACGAAATGTTTCGTATGACCTGGCAGGATATGTTCACTCACCGAGAAACAACGCAACACTGCCTGAGAATGTGTGTGGGAGGCGGCTTTGTCTGCGCGCTGGGCACTGGACGGGTTCTGTATCATTGACGAAAACAGAGGAAATCTACGACAACAGAACCAACATATTGACAAAAACGTTGGCGAAAATGGAAATCAGCGATAACGGAGATTGACAAAGAGGGAGGGTCCACTGTATACCCACAAGAAGAAACGTTTTTAAAACCTATAAAAATATAAACCCTTCTTTAACCAAACTTTACCACAAATGACTTACTTTACGAGCAAATTCTGACGATGGTTGATCCTCTTCCTTTGAAGCTTCAGTCAATAATTTAGAATATTTTTCCAAGTTTTCTGGTGAAGCATACACTGCAAGACCTTGCAACAAAAGCTGGTTGCGAGCTTTGAATGGACTCATCTCCACAACTTTTCCTTTAGAACCCAAACCTGTTGACGGATGATGACATAAATATTGATATACAATAGTTATACACATTTCAAAATGTTTTGGTTTGTTACTTATACAATAAAGGTTACAAAAAGATCAGTTTTAGATATTTAAAATTTTAAAAGTTCATAAATTAAAAATGAAAATTTAACATTTTGGTTCATTTTGTACAGTACCATTATCAAGTATCAAAATGTAGTTTAGATTTTAGTTCCAGTTTGGGAGCATATTGTGATATACAGTAGGGTCAAGCTTAAATGGCAGGCTCCAGGCTACCACCGTTAAGCCGAAATCTCTATAAAGTGAATCACTTTTTTTCACTTATAAATGCATATAACTGCCTGATAACATGTTTTCACTATCATGTATATAATGGCTTTGAAGCCAATGTTGGTCCCATAGTAAAATGCCATGAGCTCAGCTCAGTCAGACAAACTATGAGCGGTAAATCTGGGCCTAGATATGAAAGGATGGGTCTATGCGGTAAGTGTGCACCAGATAAAAATAATCCTGCAGCACTAAGTGCATAATGAGAAAAAAAACCGACCATGTTTCTGGTTAAAAATAGCAAATTTGCAGTGTATTTTGTATGGTTTTTATGGTTGCATTCTCTTTTTCTTGGTCTCATTTGAGAGAATGAAAGATATATTGCAGAAACAGAGATTGTTTTGACTGGTTTCAGGATTGAAAGTAACTTCAAATTAAGCTCAAAATAGGGAAAATGTTTGATTGTTGCCGATATTCCAGAGTACACAAATGATATCACTTATCCAATACATGTCCAGTTTGCCAGTCTAATAATGTATGCATTTATGAATGAACTAACATTATTTATACAATTATTACAATAAAGCAGTAGTTTTCATAACAGTAAATCTTATATTTTTTGTGTGAATAAAAATTCAAAATGAAAAGCAAGTATAATATAAGAGGGGCCTGGAGATGTGACTAAGGAACAGAGGAAATGTATTTTTAGTGCCAGGAATGTCTACACTTTATTCTGGACCCTATTTTTAAATTCTGATCACTTTATGGGGTAGCTGAAATAGGTAAATGGGCAGTCTCTTGTACTCAATCAATAGAAGGAATATTAGAGAAATAGCTGAGTTTGGTCGACTGGAACAATGGAATTGGCCAAAAATAGGGCGCAAAGGGGACGAAATTACAGATGTGTAAATATCGCCGAGACCGCTAACTTTGCAAGAGTGTAATTCCGTAAGTTTTTCATCAAATTCAATACTTTTGTTTTCATTACCTTCAAAAAAAGATTCTCAATCATTTCAATTTTTTTTTTTTTAAATTCTTTAACCCTGAGAGAACGTTTGAGATCAGGAGTCACAAACCTGAAAGGGTTAAAAAAACAATATAAAAATATAATACACATACAGTACACTCATTACTACTTCTTTCAACAAACTGGTCACATCCCACAAAAGTAGGGTGAGAGGTGATTAGTACTTATTGTAGAAAGTCAGGTGTGGTACCTCCCTCCCTCAACAACCACACCTACATGAAATACGTATATGACATTTAAAGTGCCCAAGAGCAATTATTATTATTATTACTATCAACATACCTCATTCACTAAGTTATTCATTTCTAACAACTACCCTTAGATGCCATCATAAACAAGAGAGAATGAGACACAGAGAATGCAAACAAATACGTATTAATACCTGTACGCTTACGGTTCACACACATTTTGCACACATTTGTGAAGCTTTTACCCCAAAACACAAATACTTTACAATGTGTACAAGTTGTCTTCACGTTGGTGCAGTAGAATAAATAACTTCAACACTCCCATTCTCATACAACACACCATTTTTAGAGCAAATGATGATATGAGCAAAGGCATACAAAAGGAATATTTTTCTACAGTTACCCCCAGTAATAATAATAATAATAATAATAATAATAATGTACATGTTTATAGAGGGGCAACTGATATATCAGATCATTATTTAGTCGTAGCTACAGTTAGAGTAAGAGGTAGATGGGAAAAGAGGAAGGTGGCAACAACAAGTAAGAGGGAGGTGAAAGTGTATAAACTAAGGGAGGAGGAAGTTCGGGTGAGATATAAGCGACTATTGGCAGAAAGGTGGGCTAGTGCAAAGATGAGTAGTGGGGGGGTTGAAGAGGGTTGGAATAGTTTTAAAAATGCAGTATTAGAATGTGGGGCAGAAGTTTGTGGTTATAGGAGGGTGGGGGCAGGAGGAAAGAGGAGTGATTGGTGGAATGATGAAGTAAAGGGTGTGATAAAAGAGAAAAAGGTAGCTTATGAGAGGTTTTTACAAAACAGAAGTGTTATAAGAAGAGCAGAGTATATGGAGAGTAAAAGAAAGGTAAAGAGAGTGGTGAGAGAGTGCAAAAGGAGAGCAGATGATAGAGTGGGAGAGGCACTGTCAAGAAATTTTAATGAAAATAAGAAAAAATTTTGGAATGAGTTAAACAAGTTAAGAAAGCCTAGGGAAAATATGGATTTGTCAGTTAAAAACAGAGTAGGGGAGTTAGTAGATGGGGAGATGGAGGTATTGGGTAGATGGCGAGAATATTTTGAGGAACTTTTAAATGTTAAGGAAGAAACAGAGGCAGTAATTTCATGCATTGGTCAGGGAGGTATACCATCTTTTAGGAGTGAAGAAGAGCAGAATGTAAGTGTGGGGGAGGTACGTGAGGCATTACGTAAAATGAAAGGGGGTAAAGCAGCTGGAACTGATGGGATCATGACAGAAATGTTAAAAGCAGGTGGGGATATAGTGTTGGAGTGGTTGGTACTTTTGTTTAATAAATGTATGAAAGAGGGGAAGGTACCTAGGGATTGGCAGAGAGCATGTATAGTCCCTTTATATAAAGGGAAACGGGACAAAAGAGACTGTAAAAATTATAGAGGAATAAGCTTACTGAGTATACCAGGAAAAGTGTATGGTAGGGTTATAATTGAAAGAATTAGAGGTAAGACAGAATGTAGGATTGCGGATGAGCAAGGAGGTTTCAGAGTGGGTAGGGGATGTGTAGATCAGGTGTTTACATTGAAGCATATATGTGAACAGTATTTAGATAAAGATAGGGAAGTTTTTATTGCATTTATGGATTTAGAAAAGGCATATGATAGAGTGGATAGAGGAGCAATGTGGCAGATGTTGCAAGTATATGGAATAGGTGGTAAGTTATTAAATGCTGTAAAGAGTTTTTATGAGGATAGTGAGGCTCAGGTTAGGGTGTGTAGAAGAGAGGGAGACTACTTCCCAGTAAAAGTAGGTCTTAGACAGGGATGTGTAATGTCACCATGGTTGTTTAATATATTTATAGATGGGGTTGTAAAGGAAGTAAATGCTAGGGTGTTTGGGAGAGGGGTGGGATTAAATTATGGGGAATCAAATTCAAAATGGGAATTGACACAGTTACTTTTTGCTGATGATACTGTGCTTATGGGAGATTCTAAAGAAAAATTGCAAAGGTTAGTGGATGAGTTTGGGAATGTGTGTAAAGGTAGAAAGTTGAAAGTGAACATAGAAAAGAGTAAGGTGATGAGGGTGTCAAATGATTTACATAAAGAAAAATTGGATATCAAATTGGGGAGGAGTATGGAAGGAGTGAATGTTTTCAGATACTTGGGAGTTGACGTGTCGGCGGATGGATTTATGAAGGATGAGGTTAATCATAGAATTGATGAGGGAAAAAAGGTGAGTGGTGCGTTGAGGTATATGTGGAGTCAAAAAACGTTATCTATGGAGGCAAAGAAGGGAATGTATGAAAGTATAGTAGTACCAACACTCTTATATGGGTGTGAAGCTTGGGTGGTAAATGCAGCAGCGAGGAGACGGTTGGAGGCAGTGGAGATGTCCTGTTTAAGGGCAATGTGTGGTGTAAATATTATGCAGAAAATTCGGAGTGTGGAAATTAGGAGAAGGTGTGGAGTTAATAAAAGTATTAGTCAGAGGGCAGAAGAGGGGTTGTTGAGGTGGTTTGGTCATTTAGAGAGAATGGATCAAAGTAGAATGACATGGAAAGCATATAAATCTATAGGGGAAGGAAGGCGGGGTAGGGGTCGTCCTCGAAAGGGTTGGAGAGAGGGGGTAAAGGAGGTTTTGTGGGTAAGGGGCTTGGACTTCCAGCAAGCGTGCGTGAGCGTGTTAGATAGGAGTGAATGGAGACGAATGGTACTTGGGACCTGACGATCTGTTGGAGTGTGAGCAGGGTAATATTTAGTGAAGGGATTCAGGGAAACCGGTTATTTTCATATAGTCGGACTTGAGTCCTGGAAATGGGAAGTACAATGCCTGCACTTTAAAGGAGGGGTTTGGGATATTGGCAGTTTGGAGGGATATGTTGTGTATCTTTATATGTGTATGCTTCTAGACTGTTGTATTCTGAGCACCTCTGCAAAAACAGTGATAATGTGCGAGTGTGGTGAAAGTGTTGAATGATGATGAAAGTATTTTCTTTTTGGGGATTTTCTTTCTTTTTTGGGTCACCCTGCCTCGGTGGGAGACGGCAGACTTGTTGAAAAAAAAAAAAATAATAATAATAATAATAATCACTGAGTCTCATTAACCCTTTCAGGGTCGACAGGCCCTCTCAGACACTTGTTCTCAGGGTCGCCCAAATTTCAAAAAAAAAAAAAAAAAAATTTTTCTTATGAAACGATAGAGAATCTTTTCTCGATCACAATGACACCAAAAGTATGAAATTTGATGGAAAACTTACGGAATTATGCTCTCTCGAAGTTTGTGGTCTCAACGATGTTTACGCATCGGCGATTTTGCCCACTTTTAGCAGTATTTTTGGCCAATTCCACTCTACTAGTTGACAAAAATCATGAATATTTCGCTAGAACTCCATTTTTTCTCTCGAATGAGTACAAGAAACCACCCATTTACCGATTTCAACTATCTAATACAGTGGTCAGAATTTAGCAATTTTGCCAATTTCGCACAAATTTCAAAAGATGCCAATTTCCAAATAGGGTCCAGAATAAACAAGAAAGACATTCCTG